CCTAAACCCTGAACCGTAAACCCTATATCAAGGGCCCTATACCCTAAACCCTATTTGGAGGCCCCTATACCCTAAAACCCTACTTGGGCCCCTATATTAAACCCTAAACCCTAAACCCCTAAACCCCTAAAGGCCTAAAGCCCTAAACCCTAAAGCCCTTAAGCCCAAGCCCTGGTAGCCAGAAAGCCGCTCGCCCTCGCCCAGCCGTGATCTTCCTGAACGCGCTTGCGATTGGGGTGGATGCAGACTTCTCGGCGAGGCAACGGGGGCTTTTTGGGTTGAGGGTTTAGGGTTTAGGGTTGAGGGTTTAGGGTTTAGGGTTTAGGGTTTAGGGTTGTGGGTGTAGATTTTTTGGGGGCTTCTATCAAGAGCTGTTTTGCTATTCTGCTTCTGCTGTTCCAGGAATGAAGTACCAGCCAACCTCTACGAGGGGGATGCAGCAGCCTCAGTGTCAGAACGCCTCTCCGGAGAGCGTCGAAGAGGCACATAATCTAGGACATTTGGAGGTGGGTAGTTACCGTTATAGGAGCCTTATAGAAGGTCTATATACCTTATGGAAGCCTTATAGAAGCCCTATATACCCTAAACTCCCCACCTGTAGTTTCCTTTAACATAACACTATCTGCAAGACCAGAAATCCGCAGTTTGTGCTGAAGCCTCCCATGCTATCTGCGTGACCCTCTGCATGACTGTATGGGGCGAAGGTCTTCTTCATCGTGCTTGAGGTCTTCTTTGCTTCCTACTTTACCTTTGAGATCCTCATCCGGTTCCTGGCGTGCGCTCGCTACATCAGACCACATCGTTTAGATCTTAGCCGCCAGCCCGGAGCCCCGGGACCTTCGTTCCTGTGGAGGTATCGCCAAAAATGCCAATGTCTTCGTGACGGCTGGTTCATTTTCGACTTGCTTTTGGTGTTGATGATGGCCCGGTGCCCAGACTCGCTGTTCACACAGTATGGACAGTAGGGATATCAATATGTTTAGCTGTTTCCTAGTTGAGAACACACACATATACATACATATATATATATATATATATATATTATAATAACGAAAATAACAATAATAACAGTAATAATCATAATAAACACATATATGCAAACAAAGTAGGCAATATATATATATATATATATNNTTGTGTGTGTGTGGTTATGTGTGTGTATGAACGAAAGCATAAGTACATATTTCAATATGTAAAGAAAGAAGAATAAACATGTATTTATATTTCCATGCAAATACTATCTGATTATGTGGTGCACATGTATATCGATGTCGAAATCGAGTGAACCCTAAACCCTAAACC